ACTACGACGTAGGAACAAAGCGATAGTTCGTGCCACCACAATACCACATGCACCACTTGGGTTCGTCCATGCATAAAATGAGAAAGAAACACATACACTTACCTGTGTAAATGTTTATGAAGTCATGTTACCTTACCGAATGAGTATGACAATGACCAAGAATTTTACCCGGTAAGAGCAAGGAAAGGACCGAAAAAATCTTACCCAGTAAGTGAGGGCGATGACTCTTACCAATGTTAGCGCTTACCGGGTAAATTGTTGCATAGGATGCCGTTATTGTTAACTAAAATCTTACCCGATAAGTAAGTGATAATATTAAATTTTACCGATAAACGCTTATCGGATAAGTGTTCTGTAAACGGCCCCTTATATATTTATTTTAAGACGTAAAAATAAGAATATAAACATTTATTTTTATAAAAATACGATAAAAATTACAAAAATAATACCGTTGATTTTTGTAGTCTTTGCCTTTGACGAATTTGACCTTGACCATATTCTTCAATTACGAGGCATGGGATAGCGTTGACTGAGATATTTTCTCGATGAAAACCACGTGTTCATCCACGTGATTCTTAGGGGTCAGCTAAGCTTTATAGAGCGTGTGATACAACCAACACAAACTCAAATTTGATTGGTCCGTGCATCACACGCGTCAACATTGTAACGCCAGATCTTATAATAATAATAAAGAGTGAATTACACGTTTGGTCTATCTAGTTTGCCCATAAATCACATTTTAGTCCCTAAAACGAAATAATTACAAAATTACCCTATGATTTACATTTTATAACGCCAAGGTCCCTCTTTTCCATTTTTTGTAATGTCGTGGATTCTGTTACCAAGGGGTTGTTTGGTTTGTTCCCATCAAGTCCTGTATGAATAAAGTTGTATGTAGGGGATCATTTTATTTGTATAGATTGAAATATTTTTGTTTGAGAATGTTTTTTCATAGATGGAAGACGCAAATTTTTTAACTGGGAAGGACATGTTTGACCAAAAGTTTGACTTTCTGCATGAAGTTCCCCTTATAAACTTACTGAATAAGTTATTTTTTGTATCGTTAAGCTATTACCAAACAATGATATATGCTGATCAAATAAGCTGTGAGTCTTATTAGATTCATTAAGCTGTTAACAAACATGACATAACTCCGTTTAATGACTCTGTTAACTCAAAGGTAGTTCAGTCTTTTTACCCTTTTTTGTCTTTTTTCTAAAAGAGAAATGCATGACTCTTCATTTAAATTATAAACGACCATTAGTAATAAACCTAAAACACGTCTATAAAACACTTGATTTCATGAATAAATAAACATAGAATACATTGATTAAACCAGCATTAACGATGACATAGTATACTGTTTACAAGCACAAACATCACATTAGCCTCATACAACTAGTACTCAGAAGTCAAAGACCTTCCAGCCTAGTGGTAAAGGTTTGGGCATGACATAGTCATGAACCCGAGTTCAAGCCCTGGGAGGGGAGTATTGGCGACATTTATGTGAGGCCATGTTTAGCCTCCGAATTTGTCGAGGATTAGTCGGGCTTTGGCCTGGACACCCTTACAAAAAAAAAAAAAAACTAGTACTCAGAATCATACCCATAACTATAATCACTGTTACATTATTGTAGGTTATGAGATTCTTGCTCTCAACGATCTTGTTGTAACCTACCACCTAATTCAAACACAATACGATAAAATTTCAAGAGCATCAATATATAATTAAAAAATATTATACATAAATATCAATTTTTGTATAAAATATTCATTCAAAAAATGTGTGTTACAAACCTTAAAATCAAAACCTAACTCGAATCGTTAAATCAAAACCCCAAATGGAACCCTAAATCAAACATTGAATCAAAAAACTAAATCTTTCATCCTCCTTTACTATGTTCCCGATCTGATGAATATGATGATTGGGGGTGGCATCCTTGTAGAGATCATATACAAAAAGGGAAAATAACGATGAAGGTTGGTTGTATACAAAAATGGTAGACTGCGAGAACGAGATATTGGCTGGATCTGGACGAACAGGTAGAAAGAACGTCCTTGTGTTACTGTAATAAGAAAGAGGAGTAGATCGAAAGGGATGGAGGAGCAAAACGATAAAGATGGCAGACGGGGATGAGATTAAGGGGTTTTTTGTTTACCTCTTAATAGTTTTATTAAGAGATAATCTCTGAATTGTTAAGAGGTGAATCTTGTTTGACAAAAAAAAATCTGCATTTTAATGGTTCTAAAACCCTCTTAATGATTTTGTATCATGAGCCTCCCTTAATCATTAAGAGCCCTAATTTCATTGTATAATTACCAAACAGTTATATTTTATTTTGCACTATATCATGAGAGTCTTTTAATCATTCTGACTACTTAATGATTCTGCACAAAAACATTCAACAACTGCCAAACAACTTCTAAGATTGTCCCTATGTAAATCATATGTATCTAAATCCGTAATTCTTTCACTTTAAGGGTATTGAATGTGATTTTGGGTAAACTAGAGGGACCAAATGTATATAATTCACTCATTTAATAATCTAGTTGTGGTCCCGCAACGTCAGAGAGCCCCCACGTAGGACCGCGTGGCTACTTTTGTCTTCCACTCTCCACTGCGTTTGTATTTTCATTCATTGTTTTTTTAGAGAGATATTTTTTTCATTCTGTTATTAAATAATGAAATAAAAAACTAATTTATTAAATAATAGCGTTCATATTATTATTTTCTATATCTATACTATATTATAAAATATTTGATAAAAAAATTTAAAAATTATTTTTTATATATGAAATATTATTTATTGATGCATATTACTTAAAATTCAAGTGTATAGGTAATTTTACGTAAGTATAACTTATTAAAACTTTATTTTTAAATTTGTATAACTAGCTGCAGATAAACATAATCAAATACAGGGTAAATATCTATTTTAAATATAGAAAATATAAAATATAATTAAGATAATCATTGAGTTCTAATATAATGTTTAATTATTATATTTAT